ATTAGCTGAGAATTCATTAATTTAGCTTTCCAACTGCAGCCCTGGGGCTGAGGCGCAATTTAACCCTCTTGTTTGTGATCGTCAGTCTAGATGACCTTACCATGGCTGCAAGCCATGTTCAAGTCCTTGTTGCTGTCTTAAGAGAGTCTGACTCTCCACTTAGGTCTATTACAATCTGTTTTATATATTTAAATAGCTTGTTCTCTTGCAGAATTGACCCCTTTGTCATTTTAAAACAACCCCCTTACCACTTTTCACAGTTAGTACGTTTTATCTAATAAATGTATGGCTATTCCTTACTCCATTTGGGTCCCCTTAGCATGGAGACTTTGCTCCATCTCTTTGTTCTCGATCTATACAGGCTTTGAGTGGTGAAACAAGCTTCATTGAACCATTATGGAGTTTGGCCATGTGCTCTATCCCAACCAGTAACTGTGACTTTTAATTGGAAAGTTAATTCATTTACATTCAAGGTAATTATTGATGGGTAAACTCTTAGTTCAGCTGTTATATAAATCATCCCCTAGTCTTCTTGTACATTCAGTTTTCATTTTTCTGGTTTGTTTTACAATTATTTTCCTCACACTTGACACAACACTTATAAAAAAAAATCTTCTGAAATACTACAGAGAATAGAAACAAAGGGCCAAATTGCTTAAATATGGTCCATACCTATAACCTCAGCACTTTAGAAGTAGAGGCAAGGAAGGTAAGGAGTTCAAGGTCGTTCTCAGCTAGTTTAGTCCACCCTGGCTATATAAGATGCTGTTTTTAAAAGTGGGAGAAGAAACAGACTAAAGAATAGTTTTTTGAGCTTCTGAAAATCCAAATTTCCATCTTTGGGTAATGCGATTTCTCGTTCGATTGTTCTGGTTATCATTAATTGTTTGAGTTTTCTTTCTCAAAGTATTCCTCTATGTGCCAGTGCACTGCTGGGCATTTTGATTTGCTTGTAGATTGGCACACATTTAACACACCTATTGCTCGTTTTACTCAATAGCTTTCAGTTTGAAAGGTCCCTTTGCATTGGGTCTCATACATGTTCTTGGCTTTGGTTTGGCGATGCCTCCTGTGTACCTCTGCATATTGTTTCTCCCCATTGTTACTAGAGAGATCACATGCCGTCCTCTCCAGGCCTGTAGCATTTGCTGAGCTATCTGCTGGCAGGTGACCCGGGACACTCGTGAACATTATTTCTTTTCTCTAACAACATTGAGAATCTCTTTATCACTTTTCTTTAATCATAAGATATGTTGGGAGGGTGGACTAATTAAGTTTGATTGTTGATCCTTAGCCTTACTTATATCTGGATGTTTGTGTTATTCATGAGGAAAGAGTTATTTCTTTGAATAATTTCTACTCCTTTGCCATTCTTGGACTCTAATTAACCAAATATTTGTTTTTAAAATATGGTCCCAAAGATAACTGGTTTGCCTTTCTCATTTTTAGTTGTGTATCTCATGGTAGCATGAATTCTAGCTCACTAATGGCTTTCCTTGACTAACATCCTGGTGTTTTCTAATCTGCTTTAATTTTCTAAGCATATTTTTCAGCTCAGGTTTTAGGCATGAATCTTAAAATTCCTTTCATTTGTGTAGCATGTGTTTTAATTTCCAGTATCATTGAAGCTCTTTCCTTAAAACAAGTGTTTAAATTTCCTTAGAGTTTTCCTGTACTGTTTCCTACCTGGTCAGTTTTTGGCATCTTATTTTGGGCATGAAGTGATGTCACAACTTCCGCAAAATACCCGATATTGTTAGCACATGAGGCCATTTCATTACCAACGAGTGAGCTCCTGCACAACTTTCTCAGTGGCCATCTTTCAGAAATGTGAATCAGGCCACACATGTTTTCTCCTCCCCCATCCTGTGTTTCAGCCAAAAATTGTCCAAACACACTCTTGACTTCATTGTTCATAGACAGCATCTGTCCCCACAGGCCTGTTATCAGCCTGTGGTGCAGTGCCAGGCCGAGGCTCAGACTGACGTCCGAAAAATTCTCTGTTGATCGTCTGGCCTCCAGCTCCAATGGCACATTTGTGGCCAGTGACACTGCCGAGAGTAGCACCGCACTGGGGTAGGTCCAGGGTACGTACCAACATGATGGCTTATTGGAGAAGTGAAATTGTAGCAAATGATTGCCGCAACGCCGGCAATGCTAGATACCGTACAACTCTATTACTTAGTCCCCTGGGCTCTAAGCCCATACTAAGCTGGGATGGTGCTGACCACAACAGTCCCCACTGATGCTAAGCTGGGATGCGCCTAGGTTTTACGGAGGCAAGGATCAGCATGGTCAGCTACACCATGGTTGGTATTGGTGCTGGACCAAACACAGGCTGCTTCCTATACCTGGTGCCAGGACAGTGTAGGAACTCGGTTAACTGGCTGGTTAAAGCTGCATTAGCTGAGACTTGAAATAGGAAAGCCAGTTCCTGGGCTATCAACGCTAGCACGAAGCTGGGTCACACGCAAGGCTCATAGCTGCAGAGATTTTCATAACGACAGGAAGAGAACATCTGGGCTGTGGGCTGCCAAAGGCGGAGTCTATTCTGGGAGTACACAGGTGCTGAGGTTAGAACTGTTCTATCAGGCTTTGAGCTGTGGCAAACACAAGAGCTTCACTTTCTACCAGGTCCTGGGTGGAAGTGCAGCAGGACGGAAGCAGCCGCTCGCTAGCTTGCTCTCATACCTTTCTTCCCAGGACGGAGAGCCTTGTTCTTCCTCAGCTGCCACAGACTCAACCAGGCCTTGTAGAGGCAGTTAGCTCCCAAACCTAATGTAGTTTCAGTGATTCAGGCCCTGGGTCTGTACCTGGAGGCTCACAGTCCTTTCTCCAGCACCAGACTTCACTGTGGCTAGCTTTGTTCTGAGTTTCAGGTTTAAAACTTGGTCTCAAGTATATAGCCCTTTCATAGACAAGAAACCCAGCCACGCAGGGATGTTTGAGGGGAAGGGTGCCACAGGCAAGCCCTTACCTCCTGTTGTCTTCTCATTTTGTAACAAGAGAATGTGAGAGTGACATCCGTCACCCCATTTATTGCTAGTGTTGATTCTGCTAGGCAGCTGTCCACTTCTTCCCTCCTGGCTCCGTAAATGTCCTCCCTGAGGTTGCTAGAGCCTCCAAGCTCTTCAATTTTAAGTGTCTCTGCAAACACAAACACCGAAACTTGTCAGTAAGCCGCCATCCTTCTCCACCCGTGAGGTTTTTTTTTTTTTTTTGTGGGGAAGAAGATGAGTCAAAAAGAAAAGTAAATTGTTGTGAGTTAAAAATAACCTAGGGAATAATTCAGCAATAAGGGCAAGTAACATGGTAGTTTGAAATAAAGCTTCTTATAGCAGGCCCTTCTCCATGCCATAGGCTTGCCATTGCCAGAACTGTCTCCCCTATCTTATCCCTCTACTCATGAGCATTCATTATCCAGAAGATGCTCTAGCCCCAGACCCACCCATGGAAGACCCCAGCCTGACAATGATGTTCAGCTGAATGGAACCAGCTCTAGCCTGCCCCAAAAACTATGGACATGGTTACTTCTTCACAAAGCAGGCTCTGAGGATGTCCAGCCCCATATACTGGCCCTTGAAGAACAAGAAACTGATATGTAAAATTCCTAGTCTTTGCCCTAGATGCAATAAAGACCTGTAGACTCTGACACCTCAGCAAGAACTTCTTTAATATGATTAAACTTTACTTTTTCAGAGCTATTTTAGCGTGGAATGCTTTTTATAGAACATGAATTAATAGGGGGTGGATGTAGCAATGGAAAATGAGTGTTTCACTGTGCTTAACCCTGCACACTCAACTGTGAAAGTAAGCACTTGCAGAAATGCGTGTGCTGGCCTGAAAAGCACATGAGTGCTTCGCTTTCTGGCAGAACTGTTGTATCTGTCCATTTACAGATGGAGTTTGAGATGAATTCAAAAATAATTAGTAACATGGTACAGTTTTCAGGTAAAAGAAGAGAGACCAGTTGTTTTAAGCTTGTAATCTCAGGAGAGATCCTGGGATGCCTTCCAAGGGCATTGTTTTTTCAAGCATCTGTGTAGCATGGGACCAGCATCCGCCATTATTCCATTATTTTACTCTTTCATGTTCTGAAAAATAAAATCTTAGTTTTGTTTATTGGTTTTATGCAAGTAATTGAAAGCTTTCCAGATAAATAGAGGATATTACAGTGAAGGTGTTAGGCAGCATTGCCTGTGCCTGGCAGGCAAGGGGGATATGTATAGGTAACAAAATGGAAGGGGTCAAGCATCTGTAATTGGAGGTGGTTGGCATTAAACTGACTAGAAGTCAGGTGTCTTTCCTTGGTTTCTTGAAAGTTGAAATGATGGAAGCTGATGACCACTGGAATTTGAGACAAGCCCTCTACCAACTGAGCTATATTCCTACTTCCCCACTGTCCATTTCTTTATTTTCTTAGCTTACAGTATGGGCTTGGATATTTTAAAAATCACATTAAATTTGCTGACCCTTGGAAATTTCCAGAGTGACTGCTTTTGGCCACTTCTGGGGAAGGGCAGTAATTATACATTCTATTTTAATGCAGATGCTCACATAGAACAAACACAATCAAGCAAAAGGCACATGTGTTGCTTTTTTGTATCTCATGGTATCTACTGGCTGCTGTACCTATTGGCAAATTTGCAATGTTGAATTCTGAAATTGAAAACACAGCAAACCAAACAGGTCTGTTGATGGCCACTATGGAGGGGGCAGCATATCCTCTGCATGTCAATGATCTGCTTTTCTTTGTTTTCCTAGATATCTATTAAGGCCTGTGAATTCATTTATTTAAGGATGTAATAAATACACTCAATCTGCATGCAATGACAGCTCAGCTGAGAGTGAACCCTAACCACCTGCTTCCCCCACGTCATGAATAAATGAAAACAGAAAAAGCATAAGGCAGGAAATTGGAACACTTTCAAACAACAGTGGCAATTTTCATGTGTTTAAGAGTTTAGGTTTGATAATTATTTAACCTTTTCTGTTTACAGTTGAAATGAACAGTCAGGTTGATGGTGTAAATGAGGCAACAGAGAATCTGCAAGAAGATCTCCAATAGGTAAGTTGTTTCAATTCATGAGCTAGCCATAAGGAATAATTTGCAAACCTAGCATATTTCTTTTGGCTTTGTCAAGTCCCAGAGTGTAGCCTGAACTGAACTTCAGAGATCTTTAAACCAAACAACACAGTGTGAAGAAGAAAGAGTACCTCTGCAGAAGCTTGTCATCCTTAAGTAGAAAGAACAAGCTTTACATCATAGAACACCTTAGGTTTCCTAACTGTGACAACAGAAATAGTGTTTTCCCATCAGTCCTTCCCCTTGCCTGCTAGCTATGTCTGTGAACATAGTTGTCATCATTTCTTCTCTCATCTGCTTTTGAATAGCTCAAACGTTGCACGTGGCAAGCATGCTGGTGGTTCTCTGTATTTATCCAGAATCCCAATATTAACTTTTGAAAAGACCCTTAGGCCACCAAAACTATCTAAGTTAAATAATAAACTCAGGCATCATTTACTGCAACTTTTCTTTAAAGCAACATATGGGATCTGAACCCCAGATAAGCTGCTAGTTTACTTGCCTTCACCAAACTGGTTCTCTGAGCTTTATCCTATACGTATTTGATGCATACTAGGTCATACCTCTGGCTATTCAGAGATGTTGCTCCTATGTCCACAAGAAAACCGTGAATATAAAATGCTTTAAAAAAAAGAATTGCATATATAGTGAACATGTGGAGACTTTCCTTGTTATCCCTATATAATGCAGGTGACGACTACAAAACATAACATTATATTGCCTGAAATATTTTGGTGATCTAAAGGTGACTTAAATTACACAGAAAGATATGGACAGCCTATATGCAAGCGCTACACTTTTTTATATGTGAAACTTGAGAGCACGAATGCATAGGGATAACTAGAGACAATCTGCCATGAATACCGAATTCTAACTCCTGTTCCAACTTCATTCCCCACATCTTCACAGCCTTCTGTACATTGTGGTGTCATAGTTTTCTTCTTTTAGCAGAGTCATAGATTAGACTTTGTTTTTTCACAATAATTACATCAAACATACATTACTGTATTTGGAGCCTTCCACTTTTTTACTACTAGTGGGATGAGGGGCTACACATGGCTGTTATTCACCTACCCTCGTCAGACTTACTTCACTGTGGTTTGACCCTGAACTATCTCCCTTACAAAGTTAATATCATCTGGTACAAAAAAAAATGTGGAGTACCTGGAAGGCCTATACAGTACTGATAGGAGTCAAAAATAGCATAACCTTGTGTTTTTAGTTACTCTGCCAAAATCAATATATAAGGAGGAAAGATTTATTTGGACTCCTGGGCTTGAGGAATGGCAGCAGCAGGAAGGAAAAAGCCACTTAAGTTCCAAGAAAACATTGCAGGTCATACCCACAATGACTAAATCCAATTCTTTCAAAACTATTATACTTAAATGGAAGAGGTAAAGAGTATAGCATTAAAAAAATTACTATTCAGCATTATCAAGCTGACTTTATCCCAGGAATGTAAGGATGCAAATCAGTAAATGTAATAGCATTAACTAGTCTGGAAGATAGAAATCGTACGACCATTTGCATATTTTTAATTCTCTCAGATGTTTCAGCAATATCTTAATATTACACAAAATATTACACCTTTACAGGACAAACGTGGCCAGCATTATACTGAATGGCAAGAAGTGAAAGCCCATCCTCTAAGTGCAGAACATCATTACTTTTTAGTGTTGTGACAAAATGTTCAGCAGAAAGCAGTGTAAGGGAAAAGAAGCTGGCTCTAGATAGGACAATCCCTTGGGCTGTGGCAGCCTGCTGGGTTGATGATGGGAGCTTGCAAAATGACCTTCTCCTGACCTGCCTCGTTAGGAGCAGCATACTAGAGCAGAAATGGAGACAAGTCCAACCACCAACTAGCTGCTTCAATGCCCCACGTCAGGGAGACCTGCCTGCCAAAGGTTTTCACCACATCCCAGAAGAGTGCAACCTTCAGAAACCGAGGGTTCAAGGACCTGAGTCCAGGTTGGACCTTGCACATTCAAAGCACTGCAAACCAACAAGATGACAAGTGTTCGCTCATCATTCTTTACTAGCTATAGCTACTAGAAATTGTAGAAAGAACAATAAAAATAAAAATAAAAGGAAAGGGAACAATATTATCTGTTGCAGATAATATGATTCTATATAGAAAGACAGATAAATTCAGTCAAGTTGCAGTACACAGATCATGTTATAAAATCTGTTGCGTTTCTGTACAGCAATAACAATTTTATGAGAAAGAAAAGAAAATCTGGAAAGCAAGTAACTACAGAAATAAGCTATTAGAAATAAATTTAAGCAAAGACATGAAAGACTCTGCTGGGAAAAATTTAAGACACTGATACATGAAGTTCCATTTCCTGGATTCAGGAGATTTAGCATTGTTAAACTGTTCATGCTACCAAAAAGTGACCTAAACATCTGCTATGGTCTAAGTGTGAAATGGCCCTACAGGCTAATGTTTGTAGACTTGGTACCTTGCTGGTGCACAGTTTTGGAAGGCTGTGAAACCATTAGGAAGTGAGCAGATCCTAAGTGCCAGTGCTCTCTCTGATTCTTGACTGTGGACTCAATGTGACCAACTGCTTACCTCCTGCCATCTTAGCTGCTCGCCCCCACCATGCTAGACCGTACCCTTTCTTAAACGCCATGTGGAAAATCTCTTCCTTCCTTTATTTCTTCTCAGGCATTTAGTCACAGCAATGAGAAAAGCGACTAATATAAAACCAAAGAGTGTCTTCTCAGAAATGGAACAGCAGCAGCAAAACCTAGTTGTATAAAAACAGAAAACAACAATAAAAATGTAATTCTGAGTGAGAAGATCCAAGTTGAAGGTATGGCAGTGCCTGGAAGGCTAGAGTCCACATGCACAGGACTGAAATTTGCCATCATTTTTCACCCTGTACAAAAGTCAACTAAAAGGGCATCAGAGACATATATGTACCCAAAACTATTTGAGAAAACAGATGAAATGACTTTATGTCCCTGGTCTGAGCAACGATTTTTCTGGAGAGGATCCAAACAGCTCCAGAGCAAGAGGAAAACTTCACAAGTAGGATTGCATCCAACTGCAAAACTAGTATGTGGCTAATGAGGACAAACAAATGGGAGACATCTACAGAGTGGAGGGGGCTTTGCCAGCTGCATTCCTGACAGGAAGACTATCCAGAATAGAGCCCCCAAAACTTCTCCTTAATAGAAAAATTTCTACTTAATAAGAAAATGACCCAAAGAGACAATCCTCAAAATACCAATGGCCGACTAATATATTGGAAAAAAAAAAAAAACAAAACAAAAACGATGAATATCATTAGCTCTCAGGAAGAGGTAAATCCACACTACTGCAATATCCCATCTCACTCCATTCCACATCATTATCGATTTTAAAAGATTGGTGAAAATGTGGCAAAAAAAAAAACCAAAAAACAACTTACTCAGTATTGGTGATAATGTAAATCAGTAGATCCACTCTGGAAAATAAGATGTTTTCTCACAAAAAGAAAAATAGAATTTCTATAAGAGAGAGATCATTGGAGTTGGGGAAGGAGAAACTGTGATCAGAGTATATTGTATTTCAAAAAATCTATTTTCAATAAAAGAAAAAGGGGGACAAACATAGCTATCCAGTCCTCCGTACAGATCGACCTGGCATTTTCACCTGGACGTATTTGTTGCTACTTTATTCATAGTAGCTATGACAGAGAACTGTGCCACATGTCCATGAAGAAAACGTCATAATGCAATTTAATCCTGCCTCTGCAGCTACATGGATAGAATACAGTACAGTATGTTAAATGACATAAGCTCTTAAACAAAATGTCAACATGAAATGAGTGTAGTGGTAGCTAGGGATTGAGAAAGGTCTACCTTGGCCACAGGATAGAGGAAGGGGTTTGCTAAGACAATGCACACGATATGCATGAATATAAATATCACACTGAAACCCATTCAGATGGATCCTATGGTTTAGACACAGTCTAAATATCTCACAGTAGAAGATGGATAAAAAGTATGATCTTTCCACACAGAGTAATGGCAGACATCACTGAAAAAAAAGAAAAAGAAAACAAAAACAAAATACAGTTAAGAAGCAAGAGTATAACTCTCAGAAATACCATGCTGAATGAAAGGATCCAGGCACAGAGAGATGCCTGTGTGAGCCTATTTATAGAGTTCTCTTTTGTAGAAAGTTCTAGATCACCTAATACTGCCTCAGAATTATTGGTCCTAGCAGGAGTGGACTTGGAGAAGAGAAATGGCTATTAGTCATTTGAATTTTTCTTAGATCTTGATAGTGTCACGGACTAAATATGAATCGTACGACTAGAAGCAAATGAGTACATAAGCCCTGTGTATTTCCCTGAAGGTAGACTAGACCTCAGTTATAAAAGCCAAACTAAAATGACCATAAACTCTTTTGGAAAAAAGAATAGTAGACTTGTCTCGTGGGTGGAGAGCACAGAAGATGCTCAGCAAGAAAGGTCTCATCAAGAGCTTTTGCAAATCAGCAGAGTATAAGTTGTTATTATTTACATGCTCATCTCTAGACTCTAGAATGTACGAATAGGCTGGAAAGGGCATATCAAAGCTAGATTGTTCAAAGCATTCTTTGAACACTTGATTTAATCATCCCCATCAGCTGAAGCAGGTTTTCATGTGGCCTACATTTATTAACAGTGATTTATAACATCTTTAAAGATACCATGTGCCAGCAATTACAGTTCAGATAGGCAAAGCTCTTTGATAGTCAAATAAGCTATTCCTGGGCCTGTTTGGGGCCCAAGAGACATTTCAAGGGCTGCATTAAAAGGTGTTCCTTGCTAAGTCCTGTGAAGATGCTTAATCTTTAATGAGTGGTTTCTCTTTGTCTTCCTCAGGGCCACAAGATGAAGCAAAGGAACAAAGAACCGAAGCTAAACGACAGTCCTCAGCATTGCCAAGGCCTTGGCCCTGGGGAACTTGGGAAGATGATAGTATGTGCTGTGGAAGAGGGTGGGGGAGGGGGAAGGCAAGTTCATGGAAGGAAAGGGGTCCTTTGCTCTAATTCTCCAGCTGTATTCAGTTCTGTTTACCTACAGGAAAAAAATGAAAAAAAAAAAGAAGAAGAAAGCAAGTTTCCTCCACTGTGGGAGGCCCCATGCTAAGACATCCTTCAGGCACACAGTCCCTTTCATTTCTGTCTTCTCTCCATGCCTCACCCTAGAGTCACAGTGATGGGGTTTATACTTACCTGTGTCTCCTGGCCCCTGTGTGCTTTCTTGGTTATCTCGCAAAGGTGGTCACAGAGTTATTTCTTCCATGAAAAAGGTGATTGATAAGCTATAGGCTAAATTTCAAGAATTACCATACCCAACATTAGTATAATCCAAAGACAGTAGAGGAAGGATAGAAAATGGGCACAAACCTCAAAGAATACCTGGAGAAGGTCTAAATGAAGAGTTCAAAATATTTTAATCAGGGGTTAAGAAACAAGGTGAGACCTGGAAGTCACTATGGTCTCCACCTTCACACCCGGAATACCATGTGTATTCATTTTCAGGCTAATTTCAAGCACTGTTTTTCTTTTGGGTTGTGAGGACTTTACCATGTGCTTCCATATGGAGCCCATCACTGAGATGTGGTTCTTTGTACACAATGGAAAAGGATCTAAGAGAGGAGCTTGCTTCATTTAGAACTCAAATAATATCAATTTTAGTTTTCAAAGTTCCACTTAAAAGCTCTATTTCCCATACAAGAATACCATGTTGATCCAAGATGTGATAGTCCACAGAGGTTCACACTTGAAGGTAGGAGCAGTTGGAATCATTGCCTCCCATACTGGCTGCCTGTCCTAGTAATGCTAAGTCCAAGGATGTTTTGGTGGCTCATCCACTTATCCAAAGGTACCCAGAACTATCAGCTACTTAAGAAGCCGGTGGAACAGTGTTAGCTCAAGCTATGAGGACAAGAGGAGGCTGAGCATCATCCCAATTTTCTGTCCCAGAACAAAGCTAAGGTTTCCCACTGCCTCTCTGGGTTCCAAAGACATGGTGTCTTTTGCATATAATCTTAACTCCGTAGTATTTTAGAGTTGTAATGTTTATGTTGCTATCCTTAACAAAAATGGGGGCGGGACCAACTGACTAGCTAAAGTCAATAGCAAGATGATACCACTTTATAAATATCAGATCCAATTCTCTAGTTCTGCCCTTTCCTGTAGAAAATCCATCTTATCTTCTTCTGACTAGTTTTGGCTGTTCTGAATTAATTGCTGCTTCCAGGTAATTTATTTGATATGATAGGATAAGTAGCAAATCATACCTCTGCATGTATCACCTTTAACATCTCTTATTTTCTTTAGATCAACTCATCAACATAGCAACAATGATAGTTTACTATCGTTTCCCTTTTTCTTTTTCTATAGTTTGACATGGCAGTATATACATCTCCATTACATGCTGTTTTCTAGAACAATACTTCTTCTAAATAATCTAGGAAAGTATGCCATCCAGATAGATAGCTTCAAGGTTTCCTCCCATCTTCACAGCCATTTTACAAGCACCCATCATTTTTGTGAAGTGCCTGACAAGAGAACCATGCTAAGAGGTATTTCCCCAAAACTCCCAGGGAAAGTGTAACTCGGCCTCCTTTATTGAGTCACATAGAGAGCAGCACACTAGAGATGAGAGGAACAGCCAAGACCGAACCCATTCGAGCCCCCCTTTCTCCATATTACCAGTGGCAGCCATTTTGTTCACTCATCTTGTGTGGGGATGCGGTGAGAAAGAGGAAGAGAATTCTGTAAAAACTGTAGAAAAAGGAAAGCAATCTTTGGATTTAGGAAACAGAAGGAGGAATTTATCTCCTAAATTTGCTTAACTTTTTTTTTTTTTATGAATTAGAGTGCATTTTCATTTTTGCTTTGCAGTAGATTTTTGGTTGGTATGTGGCCGAATGACCGTATGCTTTAAAATAAATAATGCAGTTAATTTATACTTCAATAATGAAATATAAAAATTCTAGCCCTGGGCCAGAATGAAAGCCTTCACAATATAGGAAACCCTGTTTGCTGGCCCTGTCACCGCACAGGCTGTACAGCACAGTACACGTGGGAAGTGGGCCAGTGCTTCCACACGTGAATTCTGGACAGCCATTTCCACCTACACTTCAGCCAGGCTACATGACCTGCAGGACAACAGGAGGACATGAGGAAAGCAGCCCTGTTATTAGTTATGTTTGCATACAGAGGACTGAAGTAGGCCTTCAACATAATAGTCGTAATTACAAAGGTACTCATTGCAGGCTAGACAAAGGGGCTTTTCCTCTTGCTGATAACTATTCAGATGATGGACAAGTCTTCATTGAGAAAAGCTTACAAAGAAGGCATCCGAAGCACTGTCTATATAATATTGGGTCACATATTAATCACTGCAGCTAATTGTAAATCTTTCTATGAAAAACTGAAAAGCCTCTTTGTGAATTAATACAGTTCTGCTTGATGATGTACTTGGTTTGCAAAGACATTTTTCTGTATGTGGTGCATGTCAGCTGTGCTTTGAAAAACAACAAAGTTAGCAGAATATGTTCAATATATTTTCTCGGGAAATAGGGTTTTTATCATATGACTCATTAAGGATTTGCCTTACCCTGACATTTGTGATATAAAGGAAAATCAGGAAAAAAGTAATTTTCTTGAACAAGATACGTTTGTACTTAATGCGAATAAATGTAGTCTGTTGCTTGCAAGGGGGAAAAATGTCTTCTGGTATTAATAGGGTGACACGTGCCTCTTTTGTTAAACCAGTCTTGAAATGCTGGACAGCTTCTGAGTCTGTTTGTCTCTCTTCATCCGTGCCACACACTATGACACTTCAATGACTGTTGCCTTCAAACTATATTTGTTAGAGCAGAGTGCAAATAAACTTCTTTGAGAGGATAATGTGGAATTATGTGTTCTGTGAAGTTTGTTCTTTATCCACAAGCAGTAACTCTGTGTTCACTTAGTGTTATCTATTTGGTTGTAAATAAGCATATGTAAAACTGCCTCTGTTAGTCCACTTTGACTCAATTATTTCCATCCCTTACTGAGACTAACTGGAGTTTTGCCTACGTTTTTCAAACTAGAGACTTTTCTATTAGGCAACCAATCCACACACAACAAATTTTTCCTTATACTGAATAAGTCATTAACATACTAATAGTTTCTGAGATTGTAGACATAGGTTGCTGAAATAAAGACCATGGTGCACCCTTGAGGCACATCATTCATTTCTGGAATTCTTCTCATGTACCTCCTGTGATCTTCGTCATCATGATTGTGGCAGCCACACACCCTTCAGTCTACTGTTGACAGAATCATGATGGATAAAATTACAAAAATCGTTCAAAGTGTGGCACAGGGCCACCAAAAATCACTGTGAAAAAAGTCAATGCTCTTTCCAAAGCAGATATAGATGAGCCTTCCACCAAATGTAATTCCCATCTCTTTCAGAATAATTGCTACCAGTTGTCCAGTTGTTGTAATTGTACACAGTCAAGTGAACACTTTCATAAAATGCCAGATATGGACTGGCCAAAAGTCATTTAAGCTGTTTCCTAGAGGAGCATGTTTCCAGTAGTAAATAAATTTTGAAGAGGAAATAAAAAGCAGGTAGCACAGTCCCCTGTCTTAGCAGGCACCCTTAACATAATGATTCACAATAAAAATGATTGTTTGACTTGATTCAAGCCCTGCTGAGAACAATGCTTCTTTTATACCCAGCTATTCAAGACTCTTCCCATCACTATGTTTCTCTGCAGCTGCTTATGCCAGTATTCAAAGATGAGACTGGAGGAGGAAAGGAAGCATTTCCCAGCCAAACTATAGCAAGAGGGCACTGCAGAAAGGAATTAATTTTTAGTTAAATGAATTTGTCTGTTTGAATGCTAACTATAAAGAAATATTAAGCTATCCAGATTCAAAGTGTAAACTCCCCACTAAAGCTATTTCTTGTTATGTAATTGTTTTTGCATCTTAGATAAAAAGCTTATTTTCTAAATACTATGCAATACAACTAATAAATATAATACAATAAATATAATACAATACAACCAATAAATATAAATATTAAAATTCTAGTTGCTAAAACTGTAATTATAGGATATCTTAACATTGCTTCTATAATATTTTTATAGTTAAAACTTTTTAAGAGAGCATTCAAATTAAGATTTTTAGCAATAGAATAATAAGAACAGAACAAAGATGTAAAGTCTTTTTCTTGTTTGAAATTCCATAAAATGTATAAATTTTTGGCATCTATAATTTTAGGAGGTAGCAATAGAAATTTTAAGTACACTAAAATGAAATTTATGGGTAAGCTACTTAGCTAGTATCAGTTTATTTTTAATTTACCAATAGTTTATCAGAGGAGAAAACACACTCACTACCACAAAGGCACTTTATTGCTGTCTCTTACTCTGTATACCAATCAATCAAAATAATGAGTGTAAATTCGTAATATTGTATAAGTAACTTTAGGTAATGTATTTGATTTACTTTTATTTTATGTTATTTTCAATATTGAATGAATCATACCCTGTGTCATGAACACCCATCGCTTCTTCAAGTGGGTGTATGAAGAGCATTTTTTCTTGTCAATCATTTCCCCAAGTCACGTAAAATTATTTTATAATAATGACCAAAGTTGTACGACTTTCCTGTTGTATGGCACTCAATTTGTGTCATTTTTTTTAAGCATGGTGTTGTTCTACACCAGGCTACAGTTCAGGAGAAGGCCCTGTGGTTAATGAGTATTTGGCACTAATCACCGAATTACATTACAAAGTCATCCTTCTAGCAATTATGAAATGAGAATTTCCACTTTGTGGAGCCCTCCCTGACCTGGAGGGCCCTATAAACATGGACATTTAAACATGTCAGTATGAGAAATTGTTTCTCATTATAACTTTAACTATCCTGTCTTCATTTTCTAATGAGGGTGGACAGATTTCTGTCAGCTGCTTGTATTTTCTGATTGGGAAATTAATCTGTTCATGTTCTTTGGTCATTTATCACTGGGATTTTGCTTTTTTATTGATACTTATGACCTGGCTCTTTATATAAAGAGTTTTATCTTTATTATCATGTTTCTGCATAAATTTTTCTACTTGTCTTTCACTTCATAATTGTGATTGTAATATTTTCTGACACACAGTCCTTTATCTCTCTGTGGAAGGAAGTTTCATTCTCTTCCTGTGGGCTTCCATGTCTTTCATTACTGACAATACCTGCTGAGCTTCATTTCTGCTGCTGCCTCTGATGAAATGTTTTAGCCTTATAGAAAATGCCTTGTTTGGCTTTCTAGGTTATAGGTCCTTCCATCCTTCACTGGCCAGAAAATAACAGACATAGGACCCAATCACCAGAATGTGCCTACCAGACCTCAGTGATTGGTTTACAGAGATGAGATACCCAAACTAGGCCAATCAGTAATTTCTCTAATTTGCTGGGATAGAGGACTTTACCACTTCCAACGAGAAGGTAACCATGATGATTTCTGCATCCTTTTCTGTCAGTCATGAGACTTTTTAAATTTCTTTTGCAAGCAACTTTTGGGATAGTTCTTTAGTGGTTTTGAAGGAACATCATTCATTCTCATTCCTGTTCTTCAACCCATCCCCTTTCTTAAGACCAAGTTTCATGTGGCTCAGGATGGCCTTGAACACCCTGATAGCTGAGCCTGGCCCAGGCCACCTGATCTTCCTGCCACCATCTTTCAAGTGCTGTAACAATGCTTGTGTGCCACCAGGTCCAGCTGTAAACAAAATATTTCAAGGACCTTAGGGGCCCATGGATGTGCTCCCCAGTCCAGAGCTCTGCTATTCTTTTCCAACTGGCTACTCTCAACACACATGACACTAGGCTCCTGAGAAATACCAGCCATGATTCTCTCCTTAAAGCTTTTCACTGGCTTTTCTAGAACGTTCTTTCTCTGGTCATTCCCATGGCTACTTGTTTATCGCTTTGGAATACTCTCAAAACTGTCTCATAGAGAATTACCACAGATGCCCGTTGTAATGCTACAAATACCCAGCACTGCCCCATACCCATAATGCTCTATCCTCTCACCAGGCCCTTTTTCTTAGCACTTCAATGATTTAGTAATTAAACTCATTTCAAAACTTGTGGAAAAGACTTAACTCTTAGGAAAAGGCAGGCAATCACTTTGGTTTGGTCATTGAGGGATCCTAAGTTCCAAGGCTGGACCTGGCATATGTAAAGCAGGCTTGAAATGTTTGTGGAAGGGAGAAATTCTGCTTGGAGCATTAGTTCTGAGAAACTGTGGCACATTTCTTTTTGTAAGGCAGATAACCTCCTGACTCAGAGTTCTCTTTTATGTGTGTTGGCCTTGGTGGGAGGGTTATACAGGAAAAATGAGTTCGACCATGGTGATTAAGTCATCAGGATGCTCTGTACCATGACCCTGAAGACAGAGCCAAAGAGGGAACCACAAAATCTGTTTGCCAAACTGAGGTGGAAAGTTGGCTCAGCAGTTAAAAGCACATTCAGAGGGCCCAGGTTCAGTTCCCAGCACCCACATGGTGGCTCACCACCATCTATTATAACAGTTTTAAAGAATCCAACACCCTCTTTTTACCTCCATAGCCATGAGGCACACCTATTATAGACATACATAGATATAGGCAAAACACTCATATATAAACATTTTTTGAAAAATTATTGTGGGAACTGCTTTTCTGTACAGAAATTATACTCAGTTTATACTGATATATATAACAGGAAGGATGCATTCACTGATCCTGCCTCAAACAAGCAGGACTTCCTGTGATGGAGCTGAATCATTTGATGCAAAGATGGGTGATGCTAGGATTAGGTAGGCATGGCCAGACTGCCATCAAAAGGCAATGAGACTTCTATACCTGGCTATTATTTGTATCACAGTCTCTAAGTTAAGCAGAATTCCTATAAGCTGCTACCATGGCATGCTGTCCCCTTCAGCGTGAAACCCTAAGGCCACTATGAAGCATTAAGAGAGAAGACAGTACTCTGATTCACACCCAGAAGGAAATGTTTATCATCACTTTTGCCCACACATTATTGAGCACAAGTCAGTCAGCTGATAGGACTCTTTAACTCCTGGGAGCTACAGTTTGGATGAGTAACCAACAGGAAAAAGACTTGAGTCTGGTGATGATCTAGCTTGCTGCCTGCTTTGGGCTGAGCTTTAGCTCTATGCTCTGGTTCAACCTACTGTTTCCATTCACCAAGATCAAGCAAGTCAGCACACCAGCTCAGATAGGAGGTTCGCCTGGATATATCAGTTGGCAAAAGCAGTTCAGCACTGGACAAAGGTTCTAAGAGTATGTGGACAAAGCAGGAATGCTGCTCTACAGTCTTGGATAGAAAGAAACTTGGGCAGACTGAGCCAGGGAGATGGCTCAGCAGGGAAATGCACTTGCAATCCAATCCTAATGGTTTGAGCTCAGTCACTGGAACACATGTTTTAAAGCAACAACAACAAAAACAAAACAAAAAACCACAACTGGATGCCATGGTGTCCATTGTGTTCCCAGCATTCCTAATAGCAAGATGAGAAGACACAGGAGCTTTCTGAAAGCTTCTAGGCCAAGTAGCCCAGACTTCACAGCATGGCAAAACCAAGAAACCTTGCCTCAGCAAGGCAGAAGGAAAAAATGACTTCCAAAAGTTGAGCTCTAACCCCTACACACACAGACACACATTTAAACTAAAAAGAATCTTGAGGATATGGTACAATAAAATATAACTTTGTCTTAGCGCCATTCCTAGATTAAGTTCTCCTTTTTATTAAGGACACAGTACAAGAGAGCTGCATGTCTTTCTCAGCCCTTAAGTGGACACCTCTTGTCTTTCTCTAAGTATATGAACCTGTCAAGGTGCCCACATGTTCCTCCTCTCTTGGTTTTG